AAGAGGCCCAGCTCTTGCACTGCCAGGCGCATGGTTCCAGACTCAGTGACAATACCCCCCTCGTTTGGAGCAGTGTGGGGGGGGGTCTGTAGGCCCCACATGCTCTGCCCTTTATTTAAATTGCGAGTTTTGTTGCTTTGCCACTACAGACGGGGGGCCTGGGCAGCATGTCCACCTCAAGTGGGCCCTGGCCAGGCTCTCTCCAGGACCTTCTGCTCTGCCCCTGTCCAGCCCCCTCGAGCAATTCAGGCCCCCAGGAACTGCAGTCTCTCATGTTTCAGCTGCTGGGTGCAGTCCACATCCAGTGCCCGCCCTTAGCAGCACTTTAGGCCTGGAGAGGCCCAGGATGCACCTGTCCAGCCCGGGAGTTTTGGTTTCTGCCGCCACAGAAACCGTTCCGTGGGGGCATCACTGCACTGTGACAGCCTGGCCTTTTCACCCAAGGGGGTGGCAGACCCAGCACAGGGGGATCCCCCTTAGGCCGCAAAGAGCGATGGGGCATCAGAGTGAGGCTGATGAGGCCTCTGGACCGCTCCAGCCCAGCAGGGCTGTTTCTCAGAGTCAGTAGGACCAGGCGCTGGGGGAGAAGGGGGGCCTGAGTTAATGGGGGGACAAAGGCATGCAGACACTTGGGGTGGCAGATTTACCCACCCAGAGCAGCAGCCCCATGTCCATCCCCACTGCCAGCAAGGGCAGCTTCCTGGCAGGACACCCCCTACCACCATCAGGTGGGGGCTCGGCCCTTGGAGGCCACAATGCTGAGCACAAGGCCAAGCAGAGCCGCAGGTGTGTGAGACAGCACCTGCCCCCGGCCTCTTGCCCCCTCTGCTGGGGACAGGCCGTGGCCACCAGGGGTCTGGGAGGCACGTGGGACCCCAGAGGGGTGACAGCGGATCCTGGGCCATGGGTCGGGCTGGCTGGCCTCTCAGTCTTCCGGAGGCTGCAGGGGGCAGTGACTGCCCCTGAAGTCAGTCCTGCCCAGAGAGGTGTTGCCTAGGCAGGTTATGGGTCCAGGCAGTTCTGTGGGAAAAGCAGAGGCAGCAGGCTGTGGGGGCAGGAAGCCGGCCCCTCCCTCACCTCTGGGCAGGGGCAGGACAGCAGCCAGGGCCTCCTGTGACCTCCCTAGGCTGGCACCATGCCAGGACATGGCCCGTGGAAGGGCTGGAGCTCACCAGTGCTGGGCCTGGGGGGTGGGCTCAGAGTGGCTATTGTGGCTCTGCCTGCAGGCCGCTGGCGGGGGCTCAGAGGTGGGGGCTCAGAGGTAGGAGTGATGTGAGGGGTCGGGGAGGCTGCTGATAGTTTCAGAAACAGAAGTGGCCATGGGGCCTCGTTGCACCCTGTGTCCCAGCTAGTGTGAGGCCTGGCGGCTTCCACCAGTGGGGTCTCCCAAATGGAATTGTTGGGGACACGGTGTCCAGGCTATAACCCGAGGACCGGGCCTGGGGCAGGAGACCCTGCGTCAGGAGGGCTGGGTCACAGCAGCCCCTCCGAGCAGCTGGAGGCCTCCTGGGCGGCTTCCTTGCAGGGAAGCCTTGGCGCCCATCTGCAGCAGGAGGGGGCCACAGTGCAGTGATATGGGGGGATGAGCACCGGGGCCCGCCTGGGAGCAGCGTCCACTCAGGGGTCTTCTAGCAGGACCAGCTGGGGTTCTGACGTAGGCTCTGCATGTGTCCATCTGCCTTTTGCATGAAGCTGAAGTGCCCCATCGCAGCAGACTCTGGCACCCTTGTTTGAGATGTACCCCACCCCCGCAGGTGCCCTGCCCCCATGGCTGGCTGTGGTGTGGCCCCCAAATGCCCATCAGGCAGTACCCCCATCACTACCCACTACAATGGGCACAGAGCCAGCTGACCATCCCGGAGAGAGGTTTGGTGGCTGGAACCGCAGGAGACACGTGAGTGGGACACACCCCACCTTCCAGCGGAAGGCTCTGCAGGTGATGTTCAGGGTAGTGATGGTTTGGCACTGGGCCAGCCTTGAGGGGTAGCAGCTGTATCCTGAGGCCAGTGAGTCTGTGAGGCCAGGCCATCCCTGGTGCCCTCAGGGCAACCAGCTGGGGCTGCAGCCTAGGTCATGCACAACCCTGTAGTGGCTACCCAGTCATCCAGTTAATTTAGCCTCAGGTGGGGGGGGGAGGGGCGGGCAGCGCCTGAACCCAGCGTAGAAAGTAGGGGTGCACCTGGAGCGCCCAGCCCGGGGCTGCCTGTCCACCTCCCCACAGGCGTGATCAGGGGTTATCTTCCACCTCTAGGACCCCATCAGCCTCTACAGGGTGACTCAGGGTGCTGTCCAGTCCATAGGAGGCACCTTGACCTGTACCCAACGCGGAGGCAGGCGGTGCCTGTCCAGCCCCACTTCAGGGGAAACCACTGCTGGGAGCCCGGTCCCGATGCCCGCCCACGGCCGGGCTTTTCTTAACCCCAGGGTCTGCGTGCGCTCCCTGCAACTGGAGCGCCCCGCCTACCCTGCGAGCCCCAC